CTAAACCCTAAACCCTAAACCCTTGGCCCTAAACCCCAAACCCTAAACCCCAACCCGTAAACCCCCAACTCCCAAACTTTAAACCCGAAATCCTGAGCCCTCAATCCCCAAACCCTGAACCTAACTCCAAACCCTAAACCCTCAACGCCAAACCTTAAACCCTATATCCTATACCCTATATCTAACGGCTGGGAAGCAAAAAGTGCATTGCTCTACACTGAGGTGGTGGCGTTTCTTGTCTTTGTTTGCTGCTTGTCTCTGTCTATCTGGTGTTTATGACTGTTGTTTGTATCTGTTGTTTATATCTGTCTGGTGTTGGCCTCTGTGTGTTCTTTTTATTTGTCTGTCTCTTCTTTGTGGCTGTCTATCTGTTCATACTTTCCCTCTGTATGTACGTCTGCCTATCCTTCTTTCTGTCTATCTACTCTTTCTGTTCTTTCTTTCTATATCTCTACTTATCTATAAAAACATACATATAAACAAAAACATAAACACATGCACATATAACTATCTATGTAAGTCTACATATAAAAAGGCATATATAAATATATATGCATATAAAAATTTATATATATAGATATATACAGGCCGATAGATACATAGAAACAACTATACACACATATATAATAATATATATGTCTATACGTCTTGCTTGCCTTCTAAATATGCCTTTTGCTGCTGTCTAAATGCCTGGTTGAGGCTGTGCAGCTGAGCAGCAACGGCTTTCTGTGCATTTTGCTGCATCCGCGCCTCTGCTGCAGCACCAGTTGAAACTCCTGGAGGGCATATCTTCTGCAGCTTTACTTCGCATCTGTAGAATAACTAAGCCCAAATAAACAAACGCAGATAAATATACACACAAATAAACAAAAGAAACACGCAGTCGCACGCATACATATGCATGCATGCAGCCATGCATGCAAACAGGCAAGCAACAACCGACACCATTAAGAACAGCAGCAGCAGCAACAACAGCAACAAGAAATAAAACAGAACAAACAACAAACAAACAACAAACAGCAATTAAGCAGCAACAAACAGCAAACAACAAGCAATAGACAACAGAGAACAACAGACACCCGACAGCAACAAAAAAAACAAATGGTAATAGACGACTAAGAGCAAACAAAAGAGAATGCAAAAAAAATCAAATAAGAAGACCTTACCTGTGTTATGCTGGCTGTGTGCGTGTCTATCTCGTTGCCTATCGCTGTATCTCCGTGGGAGTCCCCAAAGACCTGCAGCAGCCGCCGCTGCTGCACCTTCTGCAGCTGAGACACTGCATGCAAACCCAACAAACAGCAGCAGCAGCAGCAATAGCAGCAGCAGCAACAACAGAACTTTCTAGACACCAGCCTTGCCCAAAGCATCCTGTTAAGAAGGCAGGAAGTGCCTACACTCCCTCTGCAACACCCTAAACCCTAAACCCTAAACCCTAAACTCTAAACCCTAAACCCTCTCAACACACTCCTTTCCTTGATGTGCGCGAGATCGTCATGCAGCTCCTCAAGGGCATCCACCTGCACCACCATCGCAGCGCACATACGATCTAATAACCCTAAACCCTAAACCCTAAACCCTAAACCCTTAGCTCAGCTATAAAGGGGTTTAGGTAAAGGCATAATAACCTACCCATCTGGGGGGGAGTTGATGAGAGGGAGGCCCCAACTCTTCATCATCGGCTTGAAACGACAGCAGACGCTGCTGTCCTTCAGCAGCAGCACAAAAAGCAGACACAAGAGAAAACCACTGAAGCAAAGGGAGAGGGCTCTGCAGCTGCTGCAGCAGCAGCAAATGTACCTGTCGGAGGCTCTTCAGAGGATGCTTTTGCTGTTTCCGCTGCTGCTGCTGCTGCTGTGACTGCTTCTGCAGTAGCTCCTGCTGCTGCTATTGCTGCCTACATATATATACATTATATATATATATATATATATTGCGGCTATATGCTGCATACTTGTCGCGCTTCTGTTGGTTGGGCTTGGAACGCAGACACTCGGCTTGCTGAAGCGGAGCCTTTTCTCCTTCGCCTCTGCTTTAAAGCGAAAGAAGAGGGGACTTAAGTCCCGCATCACCAGGGGGGCTGCCATTTCCGCTGCCCCCTTAAATGTTGCTGCTGCTGCTGCTGCTGCTGCTGCTGCTGCTTGAACTCTTTTTTTTGTTGCTGCTCTTGCTGCTTCTGATTCCTGCTGTTGTTGTTGCTGCTGCTGCAGGTGTTGTGTTGTGGCCTCAGCTTTTATTGCTGTTGTTGCTCTTACTGCTGCTGCTCCTGTTTCTGCTGCTCCTGTTGCGGCTGCTGCTATTGCTGCTGTTCCGTTTGTGCTGCTGCTGCGGGTTACTCAGGGGACCCAGCCGCTGCTGTCAAGGCTACGGCTGCTGCGGGTGCCGTTGCCTTTGCCTTTTGGGGTTTTGCGTTTTGTCTGTTGCAGGAACAGCTGTTGCTGCTGCCGCTGCTGCTGCTGCTGCTGCTGCTGCTCCGCTTGCTGCAGCAGCAGACGTCCCTCCTCTGATGCGGCGCCTCCCCGATGGACTTTTTTTGATTGTTTGAGTTCAAAATGCAAAATAAATTTTACAAATTTCGTTTCCCCCCTCGTGCTGCTAGCAGTACACCTGCTGCTGGGGGCCCCTCTGCTCTGGTTGAGGGCCCCGGGGCCCCTGCAGCGCGTCGCGGTGTGTGTTAAAGGGTTTAATATAGCTGCAAATGACTTTAAAACAAAACTAGGAAGGGAAAAAAAGATTAATTAAACTGAAGGAAACAAAAACAAGGGGGGGTTTTGCGCTGTGGCTGCGGCTGCAGCACAGCGCAGCGCCGCAGTACGGTTATTATATGGAAGGCATTAAAAAAGCAGCAGAAGACGCAGCAACATCAGAAGACATTTAACTAAAATTCTTTTATTAATTATTTCAATTAACACTTTACATCTTCTGCCATAGAAATCATACCAACACGTACGCAGGGGCCCCAGCAGGAGCTTGGCCGCACCTCCTTCCCCAGCAGCAGAAGAGGTAAGGGTATAGTTTTTTCCTTTAATATTCTATTTAAACACGTATTTAAATAGGAGAATTATGTGCTCCTCTACTTTGAGAAACTCCAATTGGTTGTCTGTACATACACCGTAACTCGGGCAAAACGAAGCAGCAACATCTGCTCTTTCTGAACCACATAATGCAATAAAGAAAAAAAGAAATACTTTTGTGTGGATGTCATCCCCCGTCTATTGTTGATTAGTCTTCATCGCTGCGGAGTATTTGCACCCCACCAACCTATATTGGGTTTCTCCTGCTTAAGGCCAGCAGAAGATCCGCACATGTTGAATAAATAAAATAACAACACAACAACAATGAAAAGAAAAACAACAAAAGAAGAATGCAAACACCAGCAACAAAACAACAATAGAATAGCAGGAACATAACACGGGTTGAGGAAGAGACGGGAGCCTGTCTTCATTTTCGTGTGTGTTGTTTGTTCAGTTTCCGTATAAAACCCTAAAGAAAATATCTATTTTCTTTAGGGTTTTGGGTGTAATAGCGGGGCATAAGCGGAAGCTCTGCAGCAACTCAAGCTCCAGCAACACCAACAGCAGCAGCAGTTCTCAGTGAAGGCAGACTTCTCTCTTTTCCTGTGTCTGGCGGTGTCGCTCCCTCTGCTATCATTCAAACCCCACAGGCAATCCCCCTTCATGAAGCCCTACTATCTCTCTTTCTCTCTCTCTCTCTCTCTCTCTCTATATATATATATATATATATATATATTATGTATATATGCAGATATACGCACTTTATGTGTATTGTTAAATTGAATATAGAATGTATAGACCCTGAACCGACTTCTCCGTGGCGGGCCTGAAAGGCCCCACAACCGCAGAGGACTCGCTGCAGGCAGCTGTTGCAGTGCAGTTGCTCCCAGGTGTACGTACACCTAAATGTTATGGCGGGGACACTCCCTGCGACCTTCCCGGAGAGCTGGAAGGTGCCAGCTAGCTAGCTAGTCAGCCAGCTAGCTAGCCAGCTAGCTAGCTAGCTAGCTACTGTCACAGATAATGCAACGGACCCGAACGGTCCCTGTATGTTCATTGACCCCGCCACAAAAACAAATTAAAAACGCCGACAGGAGACAAGGCGGAAGGATGCGTGTTAACAGTCCGGAATACCCACCCGTGCAAGTCCATCGCTAGCTCGCTAGCTAGCTAATTAGCTACCTAGCTAGCTGCGTCCCTAGCTAGCATCACTAGCTACCTAGGTAAAATGGCTAGAATTAAGCGACATAACAACATCCGGAGGGCCTTCCCTTCAGCAACTCTTCCGCTCGAACCCTATTCAGCAGCAGCAGCAGCAGCAGCAGCAGCAAAGGCAGCACCAGCTGCTGCACTCCCCGTAGCTGCCGCTGCAGTGCAACAAAAGCTACGCCTCTAGAAGCTTGATTCCTCTGCCCCAGAAACTCTTGCTTTTTTGCTGCTGCTGCTGCTGCTGCACCTGGGCACTACAGCAGCGGCAGCAGCAGAGGCCTGCAGTAGCTGCTGCTCCCTTCACGGTCTCATGGACGCCACCCGCTGCCGCTTCGTCGTTTACTGCGGCGTTTCCCCAGAAAACCGAACGGCGCAGCAGCGGCAGCAAGAAGGGCTCGCTCAAGCTGCTGCTGCTGCTGCTGTTGCTGCTGCTGCTGCAGCTTCCCTCTCCCCAAGCCGATATCCCCCCCGGCCCTGGAGGCCTCTTGAACTCCCAGCTGAGCGGGTGAGATTCGTCTGTTGGTTTTCTTCTGTCTTTCTTTTCTTCTGTCTTAACAAGGTCTAGGCTCCGACACCAGCCAAGGGCAAGAGCTGCTGCTGCTGCTACTGCTAGCCACTTAATCAACAAGAGACAACAAGCAGCAGCGCAGCGCTGCAAATGCCCTTGTGATTCTATCGTGAGTCCCCACTGTAAGAAGGAGAACGCCGAGGGGAACGGCTGCGAGTGCGGCTGCGGCTCCTGCTGCAGCACCAACACCCAGCAGCAGCAAAAAGAACAGCAGCAGCAATTCCATACCTCAATGAAATGCATCCCCACGCAAACCCAACACCCCGCAGCAACAGCAGCAGCGCGCACCCCACCCGCAGCAACAACAGCAGTATCCACAGCAGCAGCACACGCCCCCCCTCACACCCCTTGACAGCAGCATCAGCAGCATACCCGCGCCTGCGCGAATCTCTGTAATCATCCCTGTAGGAGCTGCTCCTGTGGCAGTATCCGCCGTCATCTCTGTCCCTGTCTCTGTCTCTTTCTCTGTCTCTTTCTCTGTCTCTTCTGTCATATGCCCCCCACCAACCACCTCTGTCTCTGAAGTCGCGGCCTCCTCTTTCCCTGCTGCCGTACCGCCCGCGCCGACTGCACGCAGCAAACCCTAAACCCTAAAGCCCTAGACGCTCAGAAAGCTAACCCGTACATGCACAACACAGGCCAAAACCTAAACCCTAAACCCTCAGCATTCACTGCGACAGAGTCGTGAGCTCGCAATGTGCACAGACACAGACCCTAACCCTAAACCCTAAACCCTAGTCCTTCGTCGTACGGAGATTCTACGCGCGAATATCTGCGGTCATCATCGTAGCGGCGTCCCCGGGGCGATGCATCCCTTCTTCCTCTTTCATCTCTTTGCTTCTGCACCACACACCCAACAAACATGAAACACGCAGCCGCTTCAACATCTACAGCAGCAGAAGCAACAGGCAACGTAGCAACAGCCGCGCCCAGCAGCAGAGACAAAGCATCAGCCACGTGCAGCAAAAGCAGAAGAAACAGCAGCATCCAGGCGCAGCAGCAATTAAGTGTAGCAGCAGCAGCATATGAGCATCGGTAGCATGAGCATATCATCGGCAGCATCAACATCATGATCATCAACATTATGATTATGGTCATCATGAAGATCAACATCATGATCACGATGATCATCATGATGATCATCGTAATGATCATGTTCATTGTGATCATAATCATCATCACCATCACTATGATCATGACGGTAATCTTCATGAACATCATCATGATCATCATATTATAATGATGATCACAATCATAATTATCATCTACATCATCACCATCGCCATCATCATCAAGATAATCATCATGTTCATGATCATAATCATGATCATAATCATCATGGTGATCATGATCATAATGATCATCATAAATATAATTATATTCATCATGATCACCACAATTTTAATGATAATCATCATGATACTCATCATGTTCATCATTGTGATCATCACGGTCGCCATCATGATCATTATGATCATCATAATTATCATGATATTCATCATGAAGATTATAATGATCAAGATGATCATTATAATCATCATGATCACAATTATAATGACAATCATCATGATCACCATAATGATCACGATGATCATTATTATCATCATGATCATAACCATAGTGATATTCATGATCATGATGATAATGATCATAATAATAATAATAATAATCATAATCATAATGATATTCATCATGGTGATCATCATAACGATCACGGTGATCATTATAATTTTGATGATCATAATCATAATGATATTCATGATGATCATAATGATCACAATGATATTCATGAACACGATCATAATGATCACGATGATCATAATAATAATGATGATAATACCATTTCAACATACCATTTGTTGGGGTGCTGATCTTCCTTTTTTTGCAATGGCGACTTCAATTGCCTTTCCATCCAATTCAAATCCATCCATTTTTTCCAGCGCTCTTTCTGCATCTGCTCGATGCCAAAACTCCACAAAGCCAAAACCTCGAGGCATCCGACTGTGATAATCAAGAGGCAGATACACGTCCTTTACAGACCCATGAACAGCAAATGCACTCCGAACCGCCT